TGACCCACGGAATCGTTATTGAATATTATTCAATTTTTTACTCTCTTGTATCTCTTCGTCTAACGATCGCAAGTACCCAGTTATCATCTCGCGGATCAGTTCCATAGCAAGGGTTCAACTTCAAAACATTATCTTCACTATCCCGTTCTCATGAACAATTAACGATCGAAGAACGAAGCAATAATTTTCGTAAAATTAAATCTTACTCAATGCGATCTAAACAAGCGAAAAGAAAAAATTACTCTCGACTGACATATAGGGACTTACTTTGTTCGTCACAACCACATCTTTTTCATCATTCTTTCCTTTCCTCGCTTTTGAAATATCTTTCGTTTTTTCATGAGCCTTTTCAGTGAGCGCTCGCTCAAGAACGCGTTTAGCTCACAGGGATTATTCGGGACTAAATGATTACCAACCCCCCTAAAAATAAAAAAACTTAAGTTGCATATTTTGAGCCGAGTATTACTCATTGCTGAGAAGGCGAAGATTTGTGAGTTTATATCTTTCAAAGGAAATATATTACCTAGAAAATAAACGAAGAATTAAAAAAAAAAATCCTGGAAAATTTCTGAACAAGCTCATTATATAATTGATTCTCAACGGTGGGTGCCTATCAAGCACGATTGAAGAGGTGAAAATTAAAAGCGAAGTCGCGTTTTAAGGGGGCGCGGCTGCGTGCTGCGCTCCAAAGGAAACGCGACTTGGGGCCTTGGGGTGAGTTTTATTTAAGGGGGCCCCTCGATGAAGTCGCGTTTTAAGGGGGCGCGGCTGCGTGCTGCGCTCCAAAGGAAACGCGACTTGGGGCCTTGGGGTGAGTTTTATTTAAGGGGGCCCCTCGATGAAATCGCGTTTTAAGGGGGCGCGGCTGCGTGCTGCGCTCCAAAGGAAACGCGACTTGGGGCCTTGGGGTGAGTTTTATTTAAGGGGGCCCCTCGATGAAGTCGCGTTTTAAGGGGGCGCGGCTGCGTGCTGCGCTCCAAAGGAAACGCGACTTGGGGCCTTGGGGTGAGCTCTCTTCAAGAGGGCCCCTCGATAGTTCCGCTGCCGCAGCGACTTGCTCTCACGGCCGTAGCGTACAACGACGATCAGCCGCCACCAGATCCGGTAAAAGTGCGCCCTCGTCGTCCATCGACGTTCGGGGGGACGTCTCGCCGGACGGTCCTTCGAGCACTCCGTGGAACAGCATTCCACCGACCGAACTTCGCTTCCGGGGGCTAGCAACCTCAGCCTGGAAGTGGAGGTAGGCCGGTGGCAGTGCCGTTCGACGGAATGCTCGACGGACCGTCCGGTGGGTCGTCCCAACCCGACCGTTGGTGGACGACGCGGTCGCACGAGTAGGGGCCGTCTGCGGACCGCCTCGACCCGCCGGCCCGTACCCGCCGACGGTGGCCATTGAAATTCCTCCGAATCGGCTTCTGCTACCTCGGGTAAAAATAGTGACACCGAGTGTCCCGAATTCGCGTGCACTCAGGATGGTTGGGTGGTCATCAAGCGTGGGTGCTTTGCTCATGCTTCATGAGCATGCAGCCAACCTGAGTGTGTGTATCCATTCGGTACTCTCAGTGTCACCATTTTTATCAGAGGATGGTTACCCGCCGCGGGAAAAAGCGAGTTTGTGTCTGCGACATAAGAGGGATGGTGAACGGCGTTCCCGAACCATTCCTGTGTCTTGTAGCTGCCATTCAGGGCTGTTTTCGGCCCTGAGCCGGCAGTAACGAGGCAGAGGAATGGCGCGGTAACTCCTTTTACCATTCTTGTGTCGCGGACCCCAACTCGTTTCAGCCCGTGGCCGACTGACTTTGACTGACTTGGGTTGGTGGTGGGTGCATGTGCTTTGGTGGCGGGTGGATGTACTTTAATTTTCCATTTGTATTTAATTGTTATGCACTAATAATTTTCTCTCCCTTTTATTCTTTCCCTCTCATTCTTTCTTTCTTATTCTTTATCTTTCATTCTTTCTTTCTCATTCCTTACCTCGCACTTTAAAATAAAATTATTTTACTACTACTACTACCTTCTTTCTTATTCCTTACCTCTCATTCTTTTTTTACTTATTCCTGAAAGGAATGATTCAACAGAAAGAAGTCCAAAGAAGTAATTACAACCTCTCGTTTCATAGCCATTTCATCTTGGTTCATTACTTTACATTTTAAAAGTAACTTATTTAGATGGTGAGTGGTGCACAATTCCACAACTAGATAAAAGAAGTATCTACCTATATTTTTCTTCAAATTCCCTCCGTGAAGAAAGAAATTAGAGGAGAATGTTGTAGGTAGCGTACTTAGGCGGAATATTCTGTCATTTCCTCATCGAAACCACAGTGCTTCTCTCTTTTTTTTTTACACGGAAGGAATTTGAAGAAAAATAAAGTTAGATACTTCTATTATCTAGTTGTGGAATCGTGCACCACTCAATATCTAAATAAGTTGCTTTTAAAATGTAAAGTAATGAACCAAGATGAAATGGCCATGAAACGAGAAGTTGTTATCACGAGTTGAGATGCAGAACTTCGGCTTTATTTCCCGACGAAAGAAATTAGGGAGCAAAATTAATTTCAGAGACTTAGATACGTCATCCAATCGTGCAATTAGGCAATAGAAAAAGCTTTGGAACCGAGTGCAATATTTATGATTTTCTTTTTTTAGTGTATTTTCCGAAGGAAAGATACACTATTGCGTTCTCCCTCATGGTGGGACCTAGACCTGGGACCATGTAAAGAGCACCGATCTCGAGTCCTAGATCACGAATATATATGTCATTCATTTTCTGTCATATATATGTATGTAAGAGAGGGTGTATGTATGTATGTATGTATTTCAGCTAGCGTGAGGATTTTTCAGTTTTCAGAGCGTTGAGTGGCAGTTAATTTTTTTCTTTTATCTCCGACGAGAGAGACAAGGAAGCAAAATTTAATTCAACGACTCAGATTCATTATTAGATGTGGCAGTGTGCATAGTTCACCATCCTAGATACATGATATCATCACTATGTAAAGTAATGAACTAGGACGAAAGTATCATGGAACGAAATGAAACATTGTATTTATGAGTGCGAGTTGAAGGAACTTTTATTTAGAATTTTGTGATGAGACGGACCAGAGAACAGTGGAACCAAGTTCAATATTTTTGAGTTGAGTTGGGAGAACTTTTATTTTCTTTCCCGATGAGAGATTAGCGAAAAAATTGCTCTGTGAGACTCAGATTCGCCATGAGATGTGGAAGTTGGCGCCATTTACTTTCTAAACAAGTTGCTCTTAGTAGTAAAATAATGAAATAGGACAAAAGTTTTATGGAACGAAATGGAATGAAATGTTTGCACTTATGAGTTCGAGTTGAAAGAACTTTTATTTATAATTTTATGATGGGACAGACCAGAAAACAGTGGAACTAAGTCCAATATTTTTGAGTTGAGTTGGGAGAGTTTTTATTTCCTTTTCCGATGAGAGAGACAAGAGAAAAAAATTGCTTTAAGACGTAGATTCGCCATCAGATGTGGAAGTTGGCGCCATTTGCTATCTAAACATGTTGTCCTCAGTAGTAAAATAATGAAATAGGACGAAAGTTGAATAGAACGAAAAGCTATTGAATTGAGTTGTCAGAACTGTCAAGTCATTTTGAAACTGAAAACTAACATTTTTGAATGAAATAAATTAGAGAACGCATAGATTTCAAAGACTCGGATTCACATCATCCGGTCGTAAAATTGTGCGCCATTCGCTATCTAAACATGTTCACTATCTAAACATGTTCACTATCATCACGTAAAATGATGGACTAGGAAGAATATGGTATGGAACAAATAAATTTATTGCAACGACTCAGATACTTCTGTGGTGTAATGATTAATTCAACAATGAATCATGTACTCCTCACCATCTAAAAATTTGTTCACCAGAAACTGCACTTATCTGTTAAGCCTAAATTATTTCTCAATTTTTTTTCCTCACGAGAAAGCGGAAAAATATTTCCACCAATGTACTAACGTGCCGTTCACCATTTATGAATTTGACAATTTTTGAAGATATTTAAGTAGCAAGGAAGAAATTAAAATTCCTAAGTATTTTTCGAAAGTCCGATAGACCTTTGTCGTAGGTTATTTCTATTTTGTCGAGCTTTCCGTTGAAGAATAGTATTTCATTTTCATATATTAAACTAAAATGTCTGTTAATTACAATATGCCGTAGATTTTGTATAGATTTAATTGTTTGTTTCAGCGCTCTGTGTATGTAACCATTTTAGGAGGTACACTTAACCCTACGCTCCTTGACCGCTTCACGGTCCAAACCCCATAGGCGCTTCGCGCTTCAAGCATTACGCGTTTAATTTACGCATTACTCTTATGAGTTCATATTATAAAGTAAGACACGATACATTCGCAACACCTAACATTGACAGAATTGAAATCAGCATAGAAAATCCAGACAATTTATTCACTTCACAATGAACCAGTTTCATTCTATATCAATAATATTTTAATATCTTAATTAATAGCCAAGTTTTTCAGTTTATTGTTAGTTTCAGTGACAGTGTTGTGAGTGCTTTCAGCCTGGCGTCGGGCAATCGGATAACCTACTGCTGGTACGTATTTAGCAACTTTTTCTTTCTTTTGATAAGATCTAAAATTTAGTGTTTTTTTTTAATGATATCTTCACAAAAACACTTGACTACCTAATTATGTATCTTCTAAAAAAATAAATAAGTAATAACTGCCTTACTGAACCCAACCAAAATGGCAGGTATTCAGTTTTCATAATCTAGAGGAAGTCTCAGCTCTATCGTTTTGGTATTACAAAATAGTTTTTTCTGAAATTGTATCAGTCCACACCATCAATATTCAAACAACAGTATTCTGGGTGATCTGGAAATTATCAGACCCTGTCGCGAATTTTTTGATGGTGCCTAAGAATTTGGGTAAGCCCAGATCAGACGTTCTTGAATCTTCAAATCATCATAATAATGAGAAGCTCTCAAGGACCAGAAAATGTAAACATAAGGAAGTTTTTGGAATTAAGAAATGAAATAAGAGCCAAATAATTTTCTGAAACATGAAAAAAGTTCGATACCCATCCCTGCAGGAACTCCGGAGAGTTATATAGTTTTTCCCTAAAAAAATCTTGGGAAAGTGGGAAGAAATTTCAGATTCTCCTCAGAAAATTAGCCTCTGAAGGTCAGGGAAAATTCAGGGAATGAGACACCACGAGTGTTTTTTTTCCGCCTAAATGGACCAGTAGACAAGGTATAGATTTAAGTATTCTGATACACATCTCTTCACCAAAATTTTACGTATAGAATAGGATTCGCGCAACGAAAATTACTAAAGTCAACTCATAACCAAAAAAGTACCCTTTTTACATCGGTCACGGGAAATCATTTGGATTGCCCGGACACAAGAAAAACAATACCTTACGTCAGTCAAATCGCACACCCACAACGCAGCGTTATCGGCAGACTCCCTAATAATCGAGAACTGTTCTTTCTCAATTCTGTGTTGTCCTTAGTGTTAACAACGAGCAACGGGTGAGTCGAAGCGCTAAGATTGAGCTCGTCGTATTTGCATGCTGCAGAGAATTTCACGGAAACGTTTAGTGCTGGATTCGACTCTGGTAGAGAATTGTGTTTTCTTGAGCAGAAAGCACGGTTTTTCATAATAAAGCGCGTCAAAAAACGTTGAATATCTCAATGAGGAGTTGACTAGAGGGGTACATAAAATCCGCAGTTTTCGTTTTTCGAATCGTTTTCTACGTGAAATTTTAACTTGGAAACATGTATCAGAATATCATAACTCGTGCCTTGTCTACAGGTCCATTCAGCGCTCGTGATGCAGCTATACGTCTATTTTCTGATCCGGTCGCACTTCTTTTCAAATTAAAATATTTTATTAATTTTACCGCGCAATAATTTTGCTATCGTACTTCTAAATCTTTTAACGATTCTTTCATTTTTTTCAGAATCGCCTGCTGCTAGCTGCTGATCCACTGCTGACTGGTATGTAACCATATTTTTCATTTTTTCGTATTTTCATTCGGAAATTATTTTTCAGTGTGTCATCGTATCAGGACAATGCCTTCGTACTCAAGGAAAGATGAATTTCCGATCCATAATATTTGTAACAATGAATTTAGGTTAGCCAGTCGTTGCAGGTGTGAACACTTGCAATGGAATTGAATTTGTTAGAGGCAAAGTGATGTGCAGGCGTTAAAACGCTTTCATTTATTTGGGTGTGCAATTATATTCCGTAACGCACGAATATTTCCATCGTACTTACAAGCCGTCCATCTTCAAACAGAGAGTGGGAAGGAAATTGGTTTAGATTGATTAAAAGGCTGAAATGACGAGTGAGGCCATATTTTTTAATGATGAATAGTGCGGCATAAGTACTCCGCGTTCATCAATCAGCTGAACATTCATTAAATTTAATTTATTCGCACTGTGCCTGTTTCTTATCCGGCAGCTTACAATACGCGCGACCAATTCGCGTTTTAAAACTCATGTTCTGTACTATCGATGGGGAAACGATTATGTATATTTTTGAGGTTGTCTTTTCGTCTCATTCGGAGGTTGATTTCCGGATTCCAAAAAGATAAAAACATTAATCAAATCACCACTTGTCTGGCTGCGCATAGCCATGTCAATGTTTCGGAACATGATGGAATTACAGTTTCAACCTGTTTCAATCAGGAATGTTTTTCGACACTAACGGAAATCGTATGCAAGAAGGAACCACTATCTCTGACTCTTCCATAAAGTCACCTTTCTGCACAAGGAAACCAATGGCATATATGTTGTTTGTAAAATGAGCCAGAAATAATAGTTCCTCTTGCAAAATGTGGTCCAATTAGTGTAATGGATATTACACGAATTTCATTACGACGTCTGGATGCAACTATTCGGGCTCCGTGGATGTCCGTGTTGCATAACGCACGAAAGTGAAGGCGTTTTGACTTCAGACACTGATTACCTCACCAGCGGCGCGGCGATTAGTAAAGGGAGTCTATGGGAGGAGTCGAGGAAAATGTGGAAACATTAAAAGCTCATTTTGATGTTAATACGGAACGCAGAGGTTTACGAAGTAGTTTCATTGATTTTATAGTAAGTTTTCTTTCAAGAGCCACCCTGTGCAATTTATAATTTGAAGAAATTATCATAAAAATTTGCAGTTCTAACCGAAAGTTTCATGTCTAACATCTGAAAGGCTTGTTTATAGTGGAGCGGACTTGATATAAGTGCCTTCAATTTTCCATTTATACTCCAAAGCCATTTCTTAAGGCACGAATAGTATTGCTCTTCAAATCACGCTCAGCACATCGCAATATCAAAACTGAAGCACCAAAGATACATCCCACACCTATATACAACTATTCGTACGCAGATTATACTGTAATAAAAACGAACAATTGAAAACGTGTTGCCATTTTGGATTCTCGTAGTATGCAGTAAAGCCCGCTGTTGTTTTGTTAGCGCCCTGCGCCACATCGCGTCGTCGCAGGTGTAGTTGGTGAGTGCTTGGTCAGTCAAAAGTCTCAAAACTCCTTCAACTCCGTGCGTATGCAACACGGATATTCATCGGGCCCGAATAGTTGGAGTTCAGAAAAGTTTTCGTCGCGTTGTATACTTTCAATTGAGGGCGCTTCCTTCTCTCTCTTCCACATGGCTTAATTTCAGCGTTGCCTATTGTGCCGATGAAGTAAACTATTACTGATTTTTATCGTGCCCTTGTCGATTTTCCAATTAATTTGATTAATTTAAAGAACGACAAATGCGGCAAAATCGTTTTAAGGCTACTTCAGAAAAATTCAAACGCGCGTGTCCATATATTAATATTTTTTTTTCGCCGAAAATTATGAGGTATTTAAAAGAAGCCGACTTAAAATTTTCGCATGAAATCTTAGGTAAGGCGTTGACAAAAACCGAGTAAATAATTCTTTCTTAAGTTTTATTTATTTGAATTTTTCCGTGGAAATTGGATAATTATTTCTCGCTTTTTTTTTACAAAATCGCTGAGAATGTCGCGTCACATGCAACACTGACATGTGCATATGCGTTATTTCTTATATTTTATTACAAAACCGCTATTAAGGTGAGAATCCCGGTGTTCCATTTGTTATCACAACCGCTGGAAAAATCGCGGATTTTTTGAAAATTCACTGAAATTATTATTAATTTTTTTTTTTTACGTATGTACCCAAGTAAAAGCAGAAACCAAGCGCGCAACTATTCAAACTCTGGAGTAGGTATGTGGTTTATCACGTGAAAATGAAGAAAATCTTTGCTTTTCGCTTATCTCAAATTACTGACGCGTCTAAATATTACGCTAGCATCGTTATCAAAATCGCGAATTTTTCGCGAATGAGAGGCAAAAATCGTTTCATCTTTGTGCTTTCTCAATATCGCTGAAAAATTCGCGTGTATTGGCCGCGATATTTACGTAAAAATCTCGTAGTAATTTCTCGCTTTTTTACCAAACCGCTGGAGACATCCCGTATTTCCCGCGCTATACAATGATGAAATTTGGAGAATTTCTCACTTTTTTTACAAAACCGTTGGAGGAAATCGCGTTTTTTCAAAATCGTGAAAACGGTGCATTACCGTTCCTAAAATGTAGGAATGACGCTTTTTTTCTAAGCACTTGGAGGAGGAGAGGGGGAGCTGTTCCTCCTTAAAATGCATTTTTGGAAATGATTTCATAAAGGAAGGAAGTCCTAATGTGACTCATAGAGCAGGTTTCTGAAGTCCGGCGATTTCACCCTGAACAGTGGCGATTTTTGCTGAAAATTGGCAACAGTTTTTCTTCTATTTAAATGCAAGTAAATCAATCGATTCTTAGTTACCTCTTACCACACGTAAAATCGATATTTTGAATGGATTTAAATGGAGGAAAAACAATATTGCCAACTTTCAAGAATCGGCACTGCCCCGGATCACATTGAAAACAAATGAATATCACCCACGGACATCTGCAATGGATCATATTCGATAGTAGTTCGATGTATCGTTTGTTTCAAAACAAGAGAACATAACCTTAAACAAAAATTTTCAGATTAATTTTTGAAAGCTGAAAATGAGAAAATTCTAAACNCACTTAGTAGGCCCAATTTAGGTGCGTCAGTAGACACCAAGATCAATGGAATCCGTGCCGTCGTTTGGGCTGCAGTCGAGTTCGAGTCGAATCAATTTTCAGAATAAGGGAGTTACGTGTGTCTATGGTTGGCTGCCACCTTTTTCGTTTGGAGGCTTTCCAGTGTTGTCGAGTTTAGACTTTGTCCGGAGGTGGCTACCGCCACCCATGAAACATCGACAAGAAAAAGTACTCTTGACTCAATCAGAATCTAGCTTAAATCAAAAACCAAGCCTCTTAATTTAAGCGGATTTCGTTTTGATTCAAGCAAAAATCCGATTGAATCAAGAGTATTTTTCCTTGTCAATGTTTTCAAGAGTGTGAACTCTAGATGAAATGCGTTTTTTTTCCAGTGAAAAGAATAAAAAATCAATCACAATAGACCCGTTCCCTCAAACTGAATTGACTTTCGGGGCTATGTTTACATGTTGGACCAATCGATATCGATACAATCTCACCTGTCTGATGTATCGATTACGATCTATTCCTCTGACGGTCATTCGGTCAGCATGGCAGAAAATATATAACCTACCGGTACGATAATGCGGATTTTTGATCAAACCGATAACTTCACCACTTCCATCCTACCCCTGCCCCTCCCTCGACCTCTCCAGAATCAAAAGCTCACCATGTACCTCCTAAAGGACCCTTTCTTAGTTTTCCTGCCGTCAATTCCTCCCTTGATTCCCCCTCTCGGATTCATAATCCGCTTTAATTCACAGACTAGGCTCCGTTCTTTTGTTTCACGGCTTGATTAGTCGATCCGCGGCGGAGGAGGGCCCCCACGTTTGCCATCTATGACAACCTTCCAGGGGGAGCCCCGGAGCACGACGTAATACTGCCCCGCTAAGTAAGAACGCCGTATGCATGTTCCAGTGTTGCCAATTTTCTTAACGTTAAAATTTTTATATCCGTGGAGAGTTATGAATATTTTTCTGTAACATTTTTGGGATGAAAAAATCAAAGTGGGATTTGAATTCGCCGAAATATTTAAAAAAAAAAACCTCATAACTTCTCGTTCTGAATTCTAATATTGCCAAGTATCTCCTCGCAGATTGAATCGTTACTTACTAGAAGAATCGTATTTCCGACTGATAATTCCACCGATTTTTCTTTTGAGCCCACGCAAAAACTAGAAAAAATTCGGACGAAAATTGCACAGGTTTATTCTTGCTAAAAATAGAATTTTTGAGTCGATTTTTCAACTTTGGAATAGAGTTACGCTCCTTCATCCAAGCAATGAAGAATGGAAAATTCGCATGAAAATTTTTTACTGCTTCGTCTCAAAGTGCTTAAAACTGATTTCACATAATTTTTTATGATTTTTTCTGATATGGGAAATAGTATAAAAATAGATTTAAAAGTGAAAAAATGCACCGCCTAGTGACGTCATCTGGTGGCTTTTCCCATTTAAACACACGTATTTTAGCAGATTAGATCATTTTGTCATATCTTCTCCAATAATGGTTCAATTCATGAACCAAGGGTGTCCTCGTGATCAGTTCACTCAGTAGTCTCCCTTTAGACACAAAATTCATCAAATTTCAGACACCTGCAAATTCTCTATTGCGGCAGGAAATTCGCGTTTTATTAGATGAAATTTGGCAACGCGCGGATATTCATACGGCGTTTTTACTTAGCACGACGCAGTATCACACGAGTCGGCCCCGGAGCAATACGACTCCATTATGCATTTTCAATGCAATTTCTCGTTTGATTTGCGAGCGTGCTGTCAGCTCTGGAGAGCGGTGACGCTTTGCAGAAAGTCCTTTGAAGCCTTCGAATCCGAGTGAAAAACGTCACTCGAGGCGTGGGACCCGAGAGCCCTTCAGATCCGACTCCACGAACCCGATGGTCCCATGTCCCTCTA